GCCTAAAGTAGAACCGGGAGAAGCCGTCTTCATAGACTATTCTGGATTGACTAATTGTATGATACACGAGGAAGTGCACAGTAATTTACACTGCACTGTATTGCACTGATGGGTGCCTGAACTTATACCACCGTACAGGTAGGGCCTTGGCAGAGTTAAATGCACCCAGCACAGGGCTGATGAACTTGGTGATGAGGGACATTTAAGAAAAATTAAAGATATTGATAAGGCAGAGCAGCTGGCTCAATTAAACAAAGAGTGGGCCAGGCGCGGTGGCTCACGCCTGTAATCCCAACACTTTGGGAGGCTGAGGCGGGTGGATCACAAGGTCGGGAGATCGAGACCATCCTGGCTAACACGGTGAAACCCCGTCTCTACTAAAAATGCAAAAAATTAGCCGGGAGTGGTGGCGGGCACATGTAGTCCCAGCTACTCGGGAGGCTGAGGCAGGAGAATGGTGTGAACCCGGGAGACGGAGCTTGCAGTGAGCCAAGATTGTGCCACTGCACTCCAGCCTGGGTGATAGAGTGAGACTCCATCTCAAAAAAAAAAAAAAAAAAGACAGATGAGGAAAATGAAGTTAAAGAAGCAGGATGGGCCTGGAGTAGTGGTCTTCAAAATATCATTCCTGAACAGCAGCACTGACATCAATTGGAAATGTGTTGGAAATGTAAGTGATTAGGACCTACCAAATCAGAACTCTGGGGATGGGTCCCAAGCAGTCCAAGTTTTAACAAGCCCTGAATGTGACTGTGATGTATGGTAGACTTTGAGGACTACTGGTCTAGAGAAAGGAAACAAAGCTTAAGATCTCAGAGGTGACCAGTATCATCTAAGATAGAGGTACAGGGGCCCACTCTACTGACAAATGGCTGATGTCATGTGGCAATGAGGGTCGTGGCATAGAATAGGGGAATGCACAAGTCCAGGTTTCAGGCAGGTCATCTATAACTGGGAAAGATAAAAGCAAGGGTTGGAATAAAAGGAAAAAGGGGATCCTTTTTGCTCATATCATCAAAGAAGGGGAAAGTGAGTCTTAGAAGGGGAGAATTTGAAGTGAGCAACATAATGAGCTATCAAATGAAAAAGACTGAGAACTCTGACAGTGGTGAGCAAAGACCAGTTGGTTAAATGGGCCAAACTAAGTAATCATTCCACCAGCCAAAAGAAACAGGAGCCAAGGGTGTCTGCCTAAGGGACAGAGTGGGAAGGTTGCTGCCTCAGAGGAGAAAGGGCCAAGTTAAAGAGGTGAAAATAAAAAGGGGAACTTTGGCCGCATGGTGGCTCATGCCTATAATCCCAGCACTGTTGGGAGGCCGAGATGGGTGAATCACTTGAGGTCAGGAGTTCGAGACCACCCTGGCCAACATGATGAAGCCCTGTCTTTACTAAAAATACAAAAATTAGCCAGGTGTGGTGGCAGGTGCCTGTAATCCCAGGCTGAGGCCGGATAATCACTTGAATCTGGGAGGCAGAGGATGCAGTGAGGCGAGATCATGTCACTGCACTCCAGCCTGGAGTCTCGACACAGCGAGACTCCATCTCAAAATAAATAAAATAAAATAAATAAAAAAGGGAGTTTTTACCCATTTACAACAGGGATTATTATTATTATTATTATACTTTTTCTATGTTTTTTTTTTTAAATTTACTATTATTATACTTTAAGTTGTAGG